TAATTTACATATTGTGACGTCACCAGGTGGCAGCCATATTGGATTGCATCACATTAGCAGATTTTTTTTATGTTTTTGTCTTATTTCTCAGTGTTGTTATTGTTTAAGTTTATGTTTATGTTTATGTATTTAGCAGACGCTTTTATCCAAAGCGACTTACAAGTGATAATCGGCATATTGCCCTTGAGGCTAACAACAACAATAACAACAACAACGCTGACATCAGTCATGGAGAGTAGGGAACAAGGAGTGGACAGTAGAGAGGAGGGACGGGTGCAGGCAAGGTGCTAGTTACGAAGATGCTCTCTGAAGAGCAGGGTCTTCAGGAGTTTCTTGTTTATGATACATACCTACATATTCCTATGTAGACATATATAACTATGTATGTATGTATATATATATATATATATATATATATATATATATATATATATATATATATATATATATATATATATACATATATAATATTTATTACTTTATTGGTATTTTGTTATGTTTACTGCGTATCAATCAAGAACACTGTTTTTGGTGCTTCAGCGTCATGAACACATTTCACTCATCCCTTCTTTGGTTTATTTTGTATATATATATATATACACATATATATATATAATCCTCAATCTCAGGCTTTTTCCACAAGCCCCATGCAGAACTGAATGGCAATGAACGCTTTCATTTACGAGCTGCTCGAGCCCCCCCCCCCCCCCCCCCGCCACCTGTCTTTCCCCGACCCCGCGGTTTCTCCCCCTCCTGCTCCATTTCCCGTGGATTACACCCACGGGGCTGAATCAATCACCAGCGGAGTTTTCACCAGCCCAATCACCACCACCACATCCCTCCCCACGGAGGTGATGCGGGGCATCGGACAAGGTAAGGTCTGGATGGACTTCTTGTGTAATCGCGTCATCGCTGACAGACTCCCTGCTGCTGCGCACTGAAGCCATGCTTTCCGTCTCGCTTGAAGACCGCAGATCATCCAAATCTGCCAGTACTAGACGAAGAGCTTCGTCAGCACTGAGCATTCCTCTCTGCCTTGTTTTTTTCCTCTACCACTCGCTTGCTCTCACTCGCTCTGACAACCCCCGCGACTCTGCAACTGGTGGGCGGGGTTCAAGCTCTGAATACTCGAAAAGTTTCAATAGTAACAGGTGTCTGCCACCTCGCAGTGTAACATATTAACTGCATGAGGGATCATTTCTGCTGCTGTGGCTTATTAAATCCAACATTGATGCTTGTCGCTATTCTGCGACTTTGGCGCTTAAAGGGTTAATATTCCCATGTTATGACTTCAAGGCCAATCAGGACAAAAGAGGTTTAGAGGTGTTAATAAACAAACCTCAGACCACACGTCGTTTCCAGATATAAGAATGTTCTAGTTCTGTGGATAAATAATCTTTGTGTGCAGTGACACTAACTTTAATTTATCTCTAATGAACATTGTATATGAGTGTAGATAATGATTCACTTGTTAAACACAACATTACTGATCATAACATCAAAATGTTTTATCGTAATATTAAAATTCATTTCAACTTCATTGAATTAGGCACAGGTTGTTCAAACATTAATATTAATATTCATAAAGCATTTGTTCATTCAACCATATAATTATTTAATGATTATTTAACTTATGAGTTGTACAAGTTCATCTTTCATGAGAGTGTGCAATCCTGCATTCTTATCAAAAGCAAGCTTTGTTTGGGAGGCGGACATCTTGTCCCCCCTGAAATGTCAACAAGGACAGCAGAATCGTCTTGCTTGTTGGAAGATAAAATGTAAAATCCACTTTAGAGGATGGAACTATGTCTGTAGATGACCGGTGGCATGTAGGTCAATATGTAGGTGAAAACTGACCATTTCTGGATGTTCTACATGGGAAAAATTGCTCTACTACCTCACTTCATACAGAAAGTTGTTCTCAATATTTTGTTTTAGGAATTAGATGCCTAAAATGAGCTGTTTGAAATTATTTTGCACAGAACCATCCCTCACATACAGGAGAACAGCAGCTCTTTTCAGAGCCCCTCCCAGATATCAGAGCTTCTCAGCTTATAGTAGCCTGAGCAGGGGATGGACTGGCACTGCTGAAATTCCTTTACGTGAGAAAGAGCTATTGCAAGGTCTTGGTAAATGTGTTTTGTATTAACCATAAAACTGTTACAATTTAAGAACAAAAAGTCAAAAATTGTCCCTTTAAGTTGTAGTTACTCTGTGTAATCCTGACTGGTCGGCCGGACCCTTATGTGTTGATCTGGGTCCCTCTCCTATCCTTTCAGGTAGATGTGACAGTGTTTGATTATTCTGAGCCTGGCTCTGCTGGAAGTTTCTTCGTGTTGAAAGGGAGTGTTTTTCTCGCTCCTGTCACCTGCTGTGCTTGCTCAGGTTGGGAGATTGCATGGAAACAATGATTCAGTGCAATCTGCTGATTTCCCATTTTACAAATCTGGTGCTTGATAAAGGCTCTGAATCAGATTACAATACAATCTGATTGAAGTTACAGCACACACCTGGCTTTTACATTCTGTTTTGATTAAATTTTGGTGACCACTTTGTGTGGAGCCCATACTTTAACTGGCTCAATATTACTGTAATTGTAACTTTGGATTACTTCTTTTCCAATTGCTGATGTGATTGAGGGGGAAGTCGACTCATTCATTGTGCACAAGCTGAGTTCCACAAATCTGATTAGAAATCAACAAGAAACAGCCTGATTTTGATAAACATCACTGGGGTCAACATGCTGGTTTCACTGAACAAACAGGAGTTGAGTAGCTTAACTCCAGGGGAGGCCAAATCTTCTTATGAGAGCAATGTGCAGGGTCAAAAGTGTCGGCATTGTTCTTGCAAGGCTGTTACAGTATCTCTCTATGAGCACTACCCTATCATTACAAATCCGGGAACAACTTAACAACCCAATTGGGGAAAAAATGCATTTATTTCAGTTAAAAGCAGAGGTAAAGAAATCTAAAGGCAGGATTGAGCTGAAGCATGAGCTGCTTTAAAATAATGGGAAGCGGACAAATAAAGAGATGGGAATTAGAAAAAGAGCATATTTGGAGGAGGAGAGCAAACAGAATAACTTGAAGAGAAGAAAATGGGGGAAGAGTGTCTTCTGTCTTTTCTAGTTGCCATGGACACCAAGAAAGCTGAGTTGCTGCAATGCGAGCCTTATTCCCCCCTTTTTTGAATGGAAAGTCACACACACACACACACACACACACACACACACACGCACGCACGCACGCACACACACACACACACACACACAACAATCCAAGCATTACATCGGTTATTATCACCATCACACATGTGCACACACACAGCCTTAACTGCTGAAGCAGAGTAAACGTAACACCACCAGAATCCTGCAACAAGACGACGTGCAGAGATTAAGTCTTCAGGACACCTGTGAGTGTCTAATTATCACAAGGTTCAAGAGCCATGTCACGACACGCCAGCTTTATTAATACATGGTGGGTGCAAATGATATGCTAAGTTTATTCATGCTGTAATAATTTTATTTCGAGTACTCTGTTAAAATTCTTTGGAAGCTCCCACGTCTGTGTCCAAAAGAGACAACAATTTAGCATTTTTATGGGTATTTATTTGTATATATTAGATGAGTTTGGCAGCAAATTTAAGACATCCGCTCACTCTGCTTTTTGTTTTCTCTTTAACCGAGAAAATCCAGTTATCAGGGTTCAGGTAGAAAAATCTTCACTGACCAATTTAGTGCTCTGAGCCTCTCAGCGGAGTTTATTTATCAGTTGTTTTTGGGTTTCATGGTCAATGTTTCTTTCACAAAGCATCAGCAGGTCCTCAGTACTATTAGCACAGGTACATTAGTTTAATCTGAGGTTAAAAAAGAACTTTAACACACACACACACACACACACACACACACACACACACACACACACACACACACACACACACACCCTTATTAATGCTTGAAGAAGTTGTCTTTCAGAAACTTCCCCTCTTGCATCCTGCAGGATCCTGACCTAAAGTGGTGCTTCAAGTCCAGGTTCCTCTGTCTGCTGCATCAAGAGTCACGCTCAGCCATGCTTCCTGTGTCGATGAAAGCCCTAGAAGGGTGTAAACTTCAGGTACTTTTTGACCTGAACATAATAGTTTTGCTTTTAAATTGAGGTTTTTCTGTCATGGGTGTTTAGACTGTATTCATCTTTGCCACAACGGACTTCTGTTCTCCAGAAAGAATTTGTTCCAAAGCTGATCTTAATTTTTACATCATATGACAAACCCAGCAGTTCATGTTTGATGACAAAAGAAAGACTTGTCTAATGGAAGGCAAATGTTATTATTTGTTATATAGAAAAGGAAAGCGTGTGTTTTTCTTTTTCATTTTGAAATTTTCAGTAGATTTGAAACTTTGAATGATGTCTGCATGTCAAACAAAACACACAGATGGCAGTATGTTAACGTAGTGTGTGGTTTTTAAGTTAACCCATACAATTGTATAGACCAAAATGATTTATTGTAAGTATATTTTACATTGCATGGTTCCTCTGCTGGGGTGTAATTTGTATGCAACCTCAAACTACTGTACACAACATAATTTGTCGTCCTGTCAATCACTGAAACGAATCAGTGAATGTGAAATTGACTGTGTTCCCATGGGGGGCTGATGGTTTGAGTAAATGTATATCTGGAGTAACAACACTACAATGCCCTCATGCACACGTTGTCACTGATTGTCCCACGAGAAATATGGAGGGATGTCTGCCTGTTGATTACAATAATGCAGAAAGGATCATTAAAGACAGTAAGATGAGTAAAAGATTTATTATCTGATTCGTTCATTTCTGGATATAAACCTTAGTTTAGAAAAATCTGATTAAGGTGATCGGTTTTGCAGTGATTTCAAATAGTAAGCTGATTTCACGATGAGGCGTGCGTGCGTGCGCGTGTGTGAAGGGGTTGGGGTGGGGGTGGATCTCATTCTCTGATTGGCCATGTGGAGGAACGTAAAACCACACCAGGCTGCTCGGAGCGGTGATCGGGTCTCGCTACAGGTTGAGCTGCAGATGCAGGTGGTTTAATCAAAGTGCTATTAAACTTTTCCAGGAGATATTCTCAACATAACGGACCGCGGATGCAAAAAATATATATTTTATTTCTTTTTATTTTTTGCATCGAGACTCCGCGCACGCGTTTCAGCACGCTGGACAGCGCGTGAGCGCCGCAGAGGCGGTGAGTGGATTCAACCGGTGGCTTTCAGCAGGAAGAGCCGAGTGAGAGGAGTGTTTCAGTCAGCGTTACATAAAATAAAACCTCCGCTTTACTCCACGTGTGGGATCGCTCGTCCGCTTTCTGTGTCACTCGGACTAGAATTGCTTCCCTTGTTTCCTGTAAAGTGCGGAGCGGATCGTGTGTGAAGGCGTGCCGCGGTGGCTGACTCCAGAAGCCGGGGTTGACCAGCGTGGAGTGGGTGCCGACGAGAGACCCTCCATTTCTAAGGATGCTGATGGGAAATGCCTGGAGACAGAGATGACGAGATTTGTCAAAAAGCACTTGAACTCCTGTCGGATCTTTGCTCCAAGGGGGAAGTGCAGAACGAGAACTGTCTGGATTTTATCTACTACTTCCGAGACCTGGCGAGGCCACGCTATTCGGATTCAGGTGAGATTTCATTTGTTTCAGCGGAAGCTTTCAGACTCAACAAGAACACCTAGGCACCTAAAGCGTACATTTAGACGTTTTTCTCACGATAAATAGCGTTCCACTTATTCATCCCAAGTAAATCAGTTTATTATTTTTTAAACCAATTGAAAAAAAAAACAATTTAAAATAAACCAATTCAAGGTAAATTAAACTGGCCCATAATAGCTTTTTTCCTGCCCTACTCTGTGCATTTCAGATTTGCGCGCTCCACTGAGTTGGACACTATAAGACTTTACAAGTTCCTATACATTTTAATTCTACACAGACTAAAACTATTAACTTAAAAATGTATTAAAACTGCTTTTGAGTGACATGAGAGCAAATAAATAGATACATTAAAAAAAGGCCCCAAACGATCGCAGAAATCCTTACAACCAGTTTAAGCTTACTATCGGCACCTGGCTGGTCTGAATGTGACTGCGCCTGCGTGCAAATTGGCTTCAAATGAAGGTAGACAGGCGCAATTCCAGCAATCATCCACGGCATGCCCATTTCATCTCCATTAGTTTTCATCATTCACCCTGAGAAATCCAGTTTCCCCACTCTTGTCCCACTTCTTATTCACATCCTTCATCTTCTTTTCTCTTGTATTCCCAAATGTGCCATCCTCCTTCTCCTCCCTAATGTAGGCTGTTCTTCTATTTCCCATTGTGCTGACAGCTCAAAACTTGGAGTTGTGGGGGTGGGCAGTGTGGTCATCTATCACATTGTGTACAAATAACTTTTCATTTAAGTTTGACTGCACAGCTAGCATGGGAGCACCTGTAGTGGAATTACAAAGGAACGTATAGAAAAATGAGGGTAAGTTATCCATGGAGCAGGAGAGTTCAGACTGGTGTGGATATTGATGTTTTATTCATTTATTGATCACTAATAGTGTTGGTTTTGAACAGGTATACTTTCATTGATTGGAAACTTACCATCAGTTCCATTTAGTTATTTAGAAAAGACGGACAAGCTCAAATTTCAGATTGTAATAAATCAAAGATGTGATCAAACCCAACTGTAAAAAAAAAACAAAAACAAAAAAAAACATTTTAATCAAGGAATGAAAAATAGAAGTGGGGGTTTAATGGGCACTTGGTGGTAAAACAACTTTTGGTTTGACTATTCTGGAACGTCATACATACATTAACATTGTTACCTCTTTTTTAAAAACAAACAAAAATGAAACCACATAGGTAAACGTAAAACCCTTTAAATATATGGTTCACTCATTTAATCAATACATTTGCAGGGGTCTCTAGTATGAATGAATGCCTTGTAAGTCATATTCTGAGGTGGAAAGCCCTGGTGCACTCGTTTCAGGAACTAGAAGTGAGCGATATCAGAGATGATCTTCAGAAGGCAGGCTTTGAAATCTCATTTACAAACATTTTGACGTCTCACCTTGGATTGGCCAAAAACAACACGACTCTACCACTGACACTGAGGCTTTATCTCCACAAATGACACACACCTTGAAGGAGTTCTCCTATGTGCTGAAGTTGCTAATGGTTAGGTTCTGTTAGCCTAGACATTTCTGCTGTTTCCTGGATGCTAAACATACAACAGCCTTCTCAGCCAAGATGGGTGAGCCCATTAATGTTAAGTGACCGTGTGATGTACATTCACCTATAGGAATATTAGGAACACCATACTAATATGGTGTTTGACCCCCTTTCGCCTTCAGAACTTCCTTAATTATGCATGGCACTGATTCAACAAGGTGTTGAAAGCATTCTTTAGACAGGTTGGCCCATATTGATAGGATAGCATCTTGCAGTTGATGGAGATTTGTGGGATGTACATCCAGGGCACGAAGCTCCCGTTCCACCACATCCCAAAGATGCTCCATTGGGTTGAGATCGGGTTGGGACCATTGTAGTACAGTGAACTCGTTGTCATGTTCAATAAACCAATTTGAAGTGATTGGAGCTTTATGACATGGTGCATTATCCTGCTGGAAGAAGCCATCAGAGGATGGGTACACGGTGGTCATGAAGGGGTGGACATGGTCAGAAACAATGTTCAGGTATACCGTGGCATTTAAACAATGCCCAATTGGCACTAAAGGGGATTAAAGTGTGCCAAGAAAACATCCCCCACACCATTACACCACCACCGCCAGCCTGCACAGTGATAACAAGGCATGATGGATCCATGTTCTCATACTGTTTACGCCTAATTCTGACTCTACCATTTGAATGTCTCAACAGAAATCAAGACTCGTTAGACCAGGCAACATTTTTCCAGTCTTAAACTGTCCAATTTTGGTGAGCTCATGCAAATTGTAGCCTTTTTTTTCCAATTTGTAGTGGAGAAGAGTGGTGCCCCGTGGGGTCTTCTGCTGCTGCAGCCCATCCGCATCAAAGTTGTGCGTGTTGTGGCTTCACAAATGCTTTGCTGCATTCCTCGGTTGTAACGAGGGGTTGTTTCAGTCAAAGTTGCACTTCTATTAGAATGAATCAGTTGACCAATTCTCCTCTGACCTCTAGCATCAACAAGGCATTTTCGCCCATTGGACTGCCGTATACTGGATGTTTTTCCTTTTATGCACAATTCTTTGTAAACCCTAGAAATGGTTGTGCGTGAAAATCCCAGTAACTGAGATTGTGAAATACTCAGACCAGCCTGTCTGGCTCCAACAACCATGCCACAACCAAGATTGCTTAAATTACCTTTCTTTCCCATTCTGACCTTCAGTTTGGAGTTCAGGAGATTGTCTTGACCAGGACCACACCCCTAAATGCATTGAAGCAACTGCCATGTGATTGGTTGATTAGATAATTGCATTAAGGAGAAGTTGATCAGGTGTTTCTGATAATCCTTTAGGTGGTGAGTGTAAATCTGTCGAGCTTCTCAAATCCTAGAGTTTCACTGTCTATTTTATATCAGAAGCTAATGCAAGAGATAGGTGTAGGAGACTATTTTCATTTTCAGCCTGCTTAAAAACTCAAAGTGAGACTCAGAGTGAGTTTTTATGCAGGCTGAACAAAAAGTGCAAAACCCCTGCAAAAAGTGGTGTTTTTTCTTTCATTCTGACTTTTCATTTCTTTTCCCCAGTTTCTTCACTTATCCAGATGTGGCGAGTCCTTCTGTGAGCATTTGAAGAGTGTTGGTCCAAATATTGGTTTTTCAGATCAACACATCAATTAATTAATTAATTTGATCGCTTTCATCTAAAGTGCACTTTTCATTTTGCGGGTATCTAGCATGAGATTAATATTCAGATAGAACACAAAAACTAAAGACACTTTATAGTCTGGTGTTGTACCCATTAGTTTTATTATTCTTGAAGTTTATCCTTTTGACTCCACAGGGATTTGTCCCATAAAAACAGAATGATGACCTGTAAAAATGAGAAGACAAAGTTCTTTGCTGTATAAAAAAGTACATAATAAGAACAGTGCCATTTTTTGTATGTTTAAGTAATAATTTACATTATTATTTTTATATGTGTGTGTGTGTGTGTGTGTGTGTGTGTGTGTGTGTGTGTGTGCGTGCGTGCGTGCGTGCGTGCGTGTGTGTGTGTGTGTGTGTGTGTGTGTGTGTGTGTGTGTGTGTGTGTGTTACTCTTGCCCCATTGACTTTAAGTGAGCATGGACATTTTTAAGATATCTTGGCCTTTTTAGTTTCATTAAAACTTTTTACAGATGACTCACTTGTGAACAAGATGGTTCATTCCAAGGGGTTAATCCAGCTAAAACATAGGTAAAAACAAACAAACAAACAAATAAATAAATAAATACATGAGTGTATTTCCTGCTACGGCTGGCTTTTCTCAGTCCATTGTTCCTTTTCCTGAGTGGATCCAGGCTCATCCATGAACAAACTGCATTGTCATTTCAAATTAGCAATGAGAACTTTTGTCACTTTGTGTAAGGGGCCCAGATTTAGGTGAGTTTAATGTAGACAAGACCATGAATAAACACATTAATCAGAGAATAAAATTTTAGTTCTGTTTTAAGACTGATTAAGTGTGCAACATTTAATAATACTTCGGTGTGCATTACACAATAAGCTGCCATGTTAGCCATAGAAGATCAGGTGGATGTATAAAAACACGTCTGAATACTTACAGTAAAAGGAGCAATCCAGAGGCCAAAGTGTTGAGTCTGATTATGAATTTTTGATCAACAATAAACCATTCATTACCATTTACTGTCTGCGGAGAAATCTGTTGAAGTTACAGTCTTAGCTGAAGACATTGCACTTTATTTTTCAGCTCTTACTCACCTCCTACATGATCGCACCTTTGAAGGTTCTGTGCTCTAAATTTAGTCCACTCTCTTTTGTGTGATGTTGTCTCTGAACACCCCCCCCCTCCCCCCAGATGTCCAAAGATTCCTCTCCACCAGACAGTACTGGGGCAACCTGCCAAGCTGACACTGGGCTCAGTGTCCTCAGAAAGCAATTGCCTCACTTTCTCCCAAATCACACTTACTCCGGTATCCACAGAATCTCACAAACACAGAAAGTACAGTTGGTCCGAGTTCCTGTGCTAACTCTTATGACTGCGCCTACACACAGACCCAGTCCTGCACGAAGCATAGCTGCTGGATTTGGAAGGTGGGTTACCTTAGCTACAACAGAAAAGGAAATGTAGAAAACTGCTTTTGCAAAGCATGTCTCCTTTTAGAACTACTGTGAAAAACATACTCTAGAAATGTCAAATGTATCTGCAATTCATGCAATTTCATTTTGAAAATCTCTTTATTTGCATGCAAATTGCAACTTTAAACCAGAGATTTTGTCAGACTGAATTTGATTGAAGATTCTTGGTTCGATGAAAGTATTCATGGAGCTTATTTGAAAACATGACTCTCTCTGTGTTAGAAGCGTATCATGTAAATCAGATGTAGCAGTTCATTTCAAAGAGGAAACATTTTGCCACTGTTTAGAATTGCAAATCATCATTAAAGGGGATGTAAGTAAATATCCATTTTTGCATACTTTTGAGCTTGCATGTGGGCCTC